ACTACTACTACTACTACTACTACTACTACTACTACTACTAGGCCTACTAAAGAATTTATCTTTTTGAAATGAAATCCAAAACGTAATCATTGCTTTACTTAAAATATATATATATATATAATTGTTTTGAGATTGTTTTCGTTTTTTTTTTCAAATCAATCTTCCTGGCCTACGAATACTATTCGGTGTAAATTTCGTTACTCGGCAGATGATCGAGAAACGGAATCACCCGAGGCTACCCGAGGTGGTCACCTACCTCCGCCATAGCAATGTTCCATTCCCCGATTTCTTCCTGTAGCGTTTTTGCGACCTCAAAATCTAAATCCTTCACGAGGACCACGTCTCCGGCTGCCAGCTCTGCGTTCTCGTCTGGTTCCACTTTGATCAGTAATTCAGGGTTAAAATACCATCTATTGACAAAATATAAGGTTTTGTTAGTTCGAATGAAAATATTGTACTCAGCAATTGCCAATGATTTAAACCAACAATTCTCTAGCAATCAGCATAGTAATCAGTATGGTTCAATCCTTCACAAGAGTTTTTTATGAACAAATTAACATAATTTGAGATTTATTTGACCTAAAGGACCTGGTCGGGGATTTACGATGTATGAAATATTACATTGTGACTTATTTTAAAATACCCGATAAAATTTTTGATACACATGTACATTTCGGGTAAAAGGCATTACTACTCTGTAGGAAAGTCTACAAGGAAAAAAAAAATTCAAATACTACACATTTTCTATATTGTCAGAACTACCTTTAAACAAACTGAAAACAGAAAGAAAAAGTAATGAATGGATTTTAAAATGTTAAACCATTCCAAAGGTAGAAAAAAATTCTTCCGTTCAACAAAATTGGAAAAAAAAAGGACAGACGAAAAACTTTAAGCGGCAAACACGAAGCTTACTTGTCTTGGTTAATACATTCCACCACAACATCCCCGTCCCTGTCTACGCCATGTACGATCCCCTTCACACCTAGGCTCTGAAAACACGAAGACATTATACAAGGGTGGGGGGGGGGGGGGGGAAGGAAATCCCAAGCCTAAAGGACGCAGAGTATGTGGGCGAGTCGTGCGGTTTGTCTCTTTTACACACAATACACTCAATACACTACAATAATAAGTATGGGGTAAGTAAACTTACATGTATTGGCTTTTGTCCTTGTCACAAATTAGTTGCATATGGTCTACCTACCGACGGTCACCAAGATCTTTGCATTCAATAGCAAATGGTTTCTCCTTAACGTGCGTGTGCGTGCGAGAGTTTAAGTGTTTAGCGGTAGTGAAGGGGGTGGAGTGGACTTAACATCAAAGTTTCTTGTCTCGACTGACACTTTGAAAACTTTGAAACAGTACCTGTAGTGTTTCTGTTTTCACTTGGTTTAGTGGACAAAAATAACACGTTTTGAAATAACCATATTGCTATTTTTAGCTTTGGTTGTATCAAACACGTTGAATTTAAATAGGGGTGGGCAAATGAAAGCTTTTTTGGGAAATTTAATTTCAGACAAGTGGATTCTATGGCCATTTTGGCTGCCGAATACAAATCTAATAAGTATTTTCATTTTAAATTATATTTGATATTGGTATCAAGTGATTTTTCAAAATGGCCACCAAATGCTCCCTTAAATCACATATTTCTCATGTAAATCTTTAAATATCAGTCCAAAGATGGCTTGTTATATGTCTAACCATATGATTTCATGATCAATGAGCGCAAATAGATACATCATTTCGGTTGGGTCACTTCATTTTGGGTTAAAAAGAGGATTTTTTGGTCATTTTGAGGTAAAAATCACCCCAAAATCACCATTTCTGTGTACATAAATACAAATGTTTATATGCAACTGTGACTTTTAAATTAGGAAAAAAAATAATACAACAAATATGGTCAATATTGTTCAAGGATTACATGAAACTGAAATGTTTTGACATATAGAATAGGCATAATGTTAGTTACATACGGGAATATTTACAATAGAACACTCAGTAGCAGAGCATTAAGGATATTGTTACTCTTTATTACCATCCAGATACCGAAAATGAGTTTTTTCCTGCATCTAATTATTCAATAATGTATCTGTCTTTGTGCTACTTTGAAACAATGAAAAAACTTGAAAATATGAATATGCGTTTATATTTTCTCGTTGCAATGTATAAGCATAAGCAACTCAAAGCTTTAATCATCTATTTAACAGCTTTCTTTTTTGAGATTAGTTATATGGGGCTTAACTTTTTTCACGAAAATTGGCCAATGGACCACAAGGGCATAAGCTACATTCCCATGCCAACGTTTTGGTTTAAATGCTTTTGTTATGGAGTTACGAGTCCGTAATGACAGATCTTCTAAATAAAAAGGTATTATTTTGCTTTATCAACGATCAAATCTGAACTAAGGCTTTAAAAAAATCGCTGGCAGGGTTTTGGGGTACTAAATGGTGTCATTAAATTGGCTTTGAAATAGTGATCACGGGTGTTCAGGTAAAACAGAAATTTGAGGAACCGATTTTTCAGTTTTTACCCCTAAACTGCAATTATGCCGTCACCCGTAAGATGACATGTGTAAATGTTAATTAATGGAATCACTGAAGACTGAAAATTTATTTATCACCGAAAAGAATGTATGTAAGGCAGTAAATAAGGAGTTTTGGGTGAACGGTGACAATATCCTTATTGTCTTCATTTATAACCTAGTCACACTAGAGGCGGAATGAGCTAGAATGTAGTCAGAATGAAAATTTCTTGTTTATCCTGAATATTTGCAGTGTCTAAAAATTCTAATCGCATTCTTAATGTTTGGGTCCATTCTTGCGTCCTGTTAAAATGTTTTGCTCATTCTCAAAACTTTCGAAGTGCATTCCAAGTGGAAAGATATCGAATGGCATTCAAGTGTATTCTAACTGCACTATGAGCGCATTCTTAAGATGCTTACGAAATTCCAACAGCATTCGAAACATTTTGATCACATTCGAGGGAGAACCGAAATGGCAAGGCGCTTCAAATCTTGTCAGAATGTTCCACATTGTGCCTCCAATGAGCAGGAATGCAATTCGAATGCATCTTGATTGCAGGCCGGAATTCAGCCAGCAATGAAACCACACTTGTATGGCATTTGAAGTGCATTCTAAATATTCTCACTATATTTAGACAGCATTAACGATATTCCTAATGTGTTCCAACTACATTCAAGCTGCATTTGAGAGCTAATACAATACAACCGAAATGTGTACGAATCATTCCAGGTGGGTTCGAAGCGCATTCTGAGGTATTCGTCCAGGAATTAAGGTCAATTTGATATTACCCAACGAATGTGGCGCGAATTTTGAAAATTCTTCATTATGGCTCATTCTGCTTGATTACTTCAGATTCCAAATAAGTGTGACAGGGGGCTTTACAGTGCCTTCTGGTCTCAGTGTATTTCTTGTTGATGCTTTCATGGTGGTGGTGAGATACTCTTAAACTATGCAACTGAAACTAAGTACTATTCCAAGGTCAAGAGCTTAGAGGTTGTAAGAGGTTGATGTCACCTGACAAAGTTTTACCTGTTCTGAAGAAAAGGAAAATTATGCAGCATAAAATTTGTTGGTACACATCCATGAAGGTATTTTCAGCATTGTATTTACCAAACTGTAATCCATGAATTCAGTATGTACATAATGGCCATTATTTATATTTATCTTAGGCTCGAAGTGTGTATTTTATGTATATGTATGTTTTAAATAACATATTTTTACAGATGTAACCCTAACAATATTGCCAATGTCTTGAATATGCTCATATTGGAACTCAGCAACCCTCAAAACATATAGAAAGACATATTACACATCATTTTTATGTACTTTACTGTGAAAATATGGCCAAAAAGCCATTTCCCGCCTTTTTTCACAAACAAATAGCAGATACCAATATAAATCTTTAGCTTTGGTAAAAAATATTGTCAGATTTGTGTTCAGCAGCAAAAATGGCCATATAATCCACCTGTTTTAAAAAATTTTTGTCATTTGCCCACCCCTAATTTAAATATATAAATGAAATTGTGCAGAATTATGAGATAATATCTGGAATCTCGGGGGAAAAAGGGAAATGAGAGTAAAAAATACCATTTAAATATCCGTGAAAAGGAATATTACGATTCTGTAAAGGCACAAATGTGGTACTGACGGCAATAAAACCAAACTCACATGTTTCATCTTATCTTTCCATCCCCCATGTCCTTTCTGTAGCGTTTTGACCAGCTCCTCGTCCTCTGCAATCTGGACAATGTCCATCCGCTTAAAGTGGCAAGCAACCTGTCTAGCCCTCATGGCACTCCTTTTGTTTTTATCCCTCCGACTGGACGGTGACACCTCACCCTGGACCTTCTTGAGCATTGCCGGATTGAAGCTCCACCTGGCGACGAAGAAACATACTAGTAGAAGAAGAACACGACGTTGTTGATGTTATACACGTACGTGTCCATTTGAAGTAATCCATGCACAATGTCAAACATGTCTTTATATTTTGTATAATCCGTTTGAACACTGCGCAGACAATATACCTCACTGATAATAAAATTATTTTAGTGGAAATGCTGCAAGATACTGATATGAGCATGGTACATTAATTTATGTCATACTCGTATGTACCAATTGTTAATTTCTTATTGAATAAAATGCATTCTATCAAAAACAATAGACAATTTCATTTATGCAATGACATTTCAACTTAAAATCTGTTTTTCTTTCATACATACATACATATGTACAGCACTAGATATACAAGTAACGTACGTTTATTTTTCTTGACAGTAAAAATTACTTACTTTTTCCCATCCTCAAACTTCACTTTCACCACGTGTAGTACGAGTTCAACTACCTTTCCAGTCTTACCAAGGTACTGTAAAAGTCCATTTTACATAAATAATTCAAATATAGTGCACGTGCCTCGGATTTCACATGGTTATTTTGTTTCTTATCCCAGTTTGCCAAAAACATTTACCATAATTAAATTATGCATTTTAAGCACCTGTAATCGCATATAATATCCACACCGCTTAGTCTTGCATTTCTTGGAAAGCGGGGGAAAATAATAATAAACAGAAGTTAACCAATATCAATAATTCAAATAATGATCTGGCAACAGACGTATTAATTAAACGGCTACAAAGGTAATAGCTACCTGTGCCATCTCGTTATGCCAGCCTCCATAATTCTCCTGCATCCCCACAGCTCTGGTGACACTGACCTTCACAACCTGGACTGTCTCTCCCTCTTTGAACTAAAATATAAAACGCTAATTGTCAAATTATGATATCTCTTTATTTATGAGATTTGGATGCATTGTCGGATATAAGAATACTGTAGATTGTTAGGTGTTAAATTCTGTATAACCCGGCCACCAGTCTTAGTGAAATTCTGGATCTAGTACACACGCACAAAGGGTTTCAATGTTTAGATATACCGGCACATGAAGTCAAATGGATATTTAAACCCACTCATTCAATGGAATTTGAATGAAAACAACTTTTGATTTTCAAATACCAGAATAGATCTGCAAGAAGTTATATCTTCAACATAAAAAAGAGCAAAGAAGGTGCGCAGCTGCGTTAGAGCAAGGACTTTTAAAAATACACGCGTGCACTGAAGCTCTTGGGTCAAAGTGCCAAAGAGAGAAGTACGTGTAATAATAATAGTAATAATAATAATAACACACCTCGCTTTCATTTGTCTCATTTTCTTTTCCTTCCTGTTGGTCATCTCTCTCATCATGTCCAAGTAACATCTCTAACAGAGGCATTCCCCTGTCCAAAGCTCGCAGATGTTTATCCCTCTCTCTTCCGCGTCTTCTGTCTTGAATGCGATCTCTTAATAACTGTCCCATGGCTTCCTTCAAAAGCTTATAACCTATGTCTCGATGTCCGTCCCTTTGGGCGGCGCCACGCTCGGGTGAGTCTTGCGCATGCGCAGCTGCTTCTGCAGCACGAGCTCCTGGTTCTTGTCTTGGACTACCTGCCTCTGCAAGCTGATCTGGTGGCCGGGCAGGTGGAGGTGATTGGCTATGTTTTATGCCCTCTGAAATAGGAAAAATGGAAAGAGAATGAATGATAATAAAATTTCAAAGGGTCATTTTTAAAACATCTTATACTTGAAATGTGATTGGTCTTTTATGTAACGTTAGTAAGTAACAGCGTGCAGCGAATAAGAGCGGGGAGTGTTTTGTAATGTCACTTTAGTTGATTGACACGACTTATTGTACTTAAGCGAAGAATGTAATGTAGACGGGGAGAACGATGTAAGAGGTTGAACGGAGAGGAATAAACTGTACACTGTAGATAGCGTAGTTAGAAAGCGATAATAAAGAATATGGGAAAAAATGGAATTGTTTAGTTATTACCTCGCGCCACCAAGACAAAGTCAGTAACGTCGTCACATTTACACGTCTATTAAGTGGCTTGTGCTTTTTTCTATTGAAAATGATACGTGAATGGAATATTATTGCCGCTTTCATAAAAAGGTGGTCAGTAAACAAAGTGCTAACAACAGAGTTGAAATTCCTGTTGCGTTATGACAAAAAGATCAAAACTACACCTTTACTTTACCGTAAAGTTTGTCCAATGTATCGTACACTTGACGAGAAGTGAACCTTTCTTCAACCTTATATACCGCCATGTGCTGTATGAGGTCCTTCAACTGCGTCACTTCCGGGCTGTCATCTGGCTCATGCTGCACCAGTTTTGGCTGGATGCCACCACCGATGGCTGCTTGAAGCATCTGCATGCCAATGGGCATCAACATGGTAGCCAACATTGAATCTGTAGCAAATTGTATGGATTATATTTTACAGCGAAATTTTTTAGGTAACAAAGAAGGTGAATGTTTTACAATTTACGCATTAAAACAGGAATTAAACAGCACCGTGTCAGCAATTTTGAAGGAGCTGCCCATTTCTGAATAAAAGTAGACGTTTCACTCCATTGACATAAACCGAAGATCAGATTTAGATTAATTTGATATTTGACCAAAAGGACAGACAGTTCGATTTTCTTTTTTTGTATTATTTTACCTTGACTTCCAGGGGGGACAGGAATTAACTCCCCAAGAACGTCAAAGTTGATCATTCCTAGAAACACCAAACCCAACGCAAACACATCCACCAGTACCGTGTACTTCTGCCTGGCGAACTCCTCGGGGGAAAGATAGCAGACCGCCCCTGCCACGGTGGAGAGAAGGAAGGTCTTCGTCATGTCCTCTTCGGCTACTTTAGCCAGTCCGAAGTCGGTGACCTTAATCATGGGCCGATCGTCTGTTGAGATGTACGACACCATGCTATATTGGCCAAAAGTAAGGTGACAACGAAGAGTTTAGAGAAATGATGCAAACAAAAGTGAATTGTTTTCTTTAAAAATATAATAAAATAACACTGCTGGTGATATTCATAATGATATTGATGACGAGTATGATGATGTTGAAAAAACAGCTGAATATGAATAATGATGTTATTTCAAATGCATGTTTTATTTTACTTGCGTAAATTTGACGCCAGATACGTTCCCTTTTTAATTAATTGGGATTAAGCATGATTTTATCTATTATTTATTTAAAGAAAGAATACTTTTGGGGAAAGCATAAGCACTGCCTTACATGTTGTTTGGTTTAAGATCCCTGTGTATTATCTGCTGTGGTGCCTCGTGCAAGTGTACCAGAGCAGCAGCAATTTGCCGCATGAAATCCACTTTTGTTGCCAAATCAATAGGCGCATGCGCAACGAAGTATTCCTTCATCTCTCCCATATTGCAGAAGTCCATGACGATCCAGAAAGAATCTTGAGAGAAGTGATAGTCGAGGAACCGAATTAAATTTTGGTGACTGGGTAACTTTTGTAACACCTTTATTTCGGAAAGCGCGGTGCTGCCGTGTCTTTCCTTTCTCTTTATGTCTATCTGCTTTGCTGCAACCTAATGGAAAATACCAAAAATCTGTGAATTCTCTGAATTTATCAATAATGAATACGTTTGTTATATGTTATTCATAATTGTCGATATTAATGATCGAGATTAATTTTCTCTTGCAATTTATCCTCCCCCCCCCAAAAAAAAAAATGCAGATAGGCCTATGAGCGAGTAATAACTAAGCAGATGGATGTCACATGAAGGAAGTTTTATTATGTCATAGCCCCTAATCAAGTAAAACCCTAAATTCCTGCGTAATTACATACCTTTATCCTACTCCTAGTGTCAACCCCTGCGAAGACCACCCCAAACCCTCCTTGACCCAGCTTCTTCATTAAGTTGACCTCATACTGCCCCAGCCTTAGAACACAGGTCGGATCCTGAGACATCCTTGACTGGATTTCTGACTGACTGTATAGATCCTGGCTAATAAATAAATAAATAAATAGTGGATGATCATCAGTGGCGAATTTATAGGGGGGGGGGGGGGGTCAGCTGGGTCCTGACCCCCCTCCCCCTTCGATTACTGGTCCCCTCTTAATTGAAATGAGAATTTGGACTAGCTGAATCATAGTTCTAAACCGTACCAAATGGCACCGTTCGCCCTCTAAAATACCAAAAAATTTTGGAGCTCTTCAGCGGGCCCCACATCCAACGCCTGTATGTGTGTGTGTGTGTGTGTGCATGTGTGTGTGTGGGGGGGGGGGGGGGCGGTCGGCTTAATCCTGGATCCCCCCCTGATCATTAATACAACGCTCTCGAATAATTGCCAAGTACAAGTAGTGCTACACTAGTACACAGCCCCTATAAAGACTGCATTTTATGTTCCTAATGTTGACCGTCTGTCACGTGCCCTAAAGGACAAAATGAAACAAGCATTAGGGCCGCTTGAAAAGATCAGGTTTAAAGATCAGGTTTAAAGTTAGCGGGTTTAAATGTGTGATCATTCATATCAGTCACTAAAGATGAATTCTTTAAGCAAAAACACAGTTTTACAAAACGTACTGTAAGGCGTTATAACAAACGAACAGATGTAGGGCTCTACTCTACATGTACCTGTGAAAGTCCACACGTCGAGTCAATCAATCAGCTGATCACTCGGCAGTAGGCCTAATCCTGTTGCCATACTGTACAACGTACAGTAGTAAACGTGTAGATATACGCACTCTCTGTTAGATGTTATATCAAATCATCTTTAAAAAATAAAGGAAAAATGATTTGACTTGCTGATATGTTGTTTTCCTTTCGATATGCACAAGATGGCGTAGTATTTACTTTTTCCGATTACCGGGGATTTCCAGTCACATGACTGAACTAAATATAGCACAGCCGACAAAACTAAACAATAGATGCACTCCCATGATTAGAAGTAGGCCTACATCAGTGCAGACTGCATCTACTTTAAATTGAATTTATCGTAATCCGTGTCACTACATCTATCACTTGGCATATTTATCCATGCATATTAGTATACATTCATGTAATAATAATGATATGTAATGATAGGCCCCTATATATAGGCGAAATAATTAGGCCCTATAGACCTAAAATGTGGTTTTAGCACTCCTTAATACAGTGATTATAATGAAAACATATTTTTTTAAAAAATATACTGAATGTAAGAATTCTTAGAGAGAATAAGGCACATCGCACGATGAAACTAATGTATACAAGGTCAAGAGAGAGAGAGAGAGGATGGAGGATAAAATGTGTGTGTCATCCGTACGTTTCCTTAAGAAAATATTTTTTATCTGTTACCTACTGGTAATAATTTATAGCAAAAGTGGTTTAAAGTTTCCATATTTTTCTTAAATAGAAATATTTCCTTCGTGCTGATATACGTTAATGGTTGGTTAATATTTTCTCTTCAAAATTGATCGTTTCCAACAATGCAACACATTGCTCATGTCGCTTACGACATTTTACCTTATGACGTCATAAGAGTCAACAACGTCATGGACCGCCGCGGTTGCCGTAACGTTAGTTACAATAACACAACTTCAGACTGCAGACGTGTAGAATCTCAAGTGGTGATATTATTTAGCTTAATTTAGTATGGATGAAGTAGAATCGGGCGTAGGCCGATTTGGACGTATTCGAATACGCGTGAGACAATCCGCTGCGCGTGCTGTAAGTAACATCCGACGACGCAGTGGAAGAATTTCAGTGAGAACAACTCCGGAGCAGGCTGCTGTTCCATGCGCTGACGCAAGTGAGGAGCCGAGCGCAGACGAAAAGGTACAGGGATCAATTTAAAATTCAATGATAAATATGTCAGCATTATTCCATGGAATACACAGTTTCATTCGGAAAGTCCTACCGATAACTAAAAACAAACAGCGCATTCCGTTTGAATCACACTTAAATAATGCTTGAGTTAGAAAAGTTGCTATTAATATTCTTTTTCGCTTTTCGAATACTTTTCCAATTCTATTTACTGATTCCTTCTTTTAATCTCATTTTATTTAGACCAAGGACAGTGACGCCGAGAGTGCCGTCAACGAGGACACGGCATCTAAGAAGTGAGATTTCAAGCAGCTTATTTTATCGTGCACCTTATTTTCCTCTTTATTTTGAGTATTTCCCAGAGAAATATGATCAGACCTCCTTAGATAAACAACCCACTTATATGAAACTTATATGAATATGCACCAGCTTTCAGATTATATTCTCTAAATTGGGAGACAGAGAACAATCTTATCTATATTTAACTGGTATTGATATACTATCATTCCCGACGTCTTTTGGCATATGAAGGTAATACTATTATAAATACAGTGCATATAAATTAAAATACACACTGGTTCCCTTCGTAGATGTATTACACCTTTTGCCATCATTTCTAACTTTCCAAAGGTCTGACTCCACAACCTCTAGTGAAAGAGCAGCTTATATGAAAACGATGGAGGAATTGCGCTCTTTTGAGGAAAAGAATAGAGAAGAGAAGAAACCAAAATCAAGATGGCAAACCTTCAAGGCCATGTTCTGCTGTTGTGCCTCCAAGGTAAGCCACAGTGATCTATTTGCGATATGCGATATTTTTTATTTATCAATGGGACGTCATTTTTCGTTTATTACATTTATGGATTTATGAAACATAGAATCCATCGTATTCCATTTCTGGGCTTGTACAGGGTGTGCTACGCTTTCCACAGTTATAAGAATCAAGGATATTTATATACAGATCATCATCAGTATCAAGCCACATTTTACAGGTCGAACCCTCCATAGGACCAAAGCAAGCTCAGCGCTCAAGCAGATTGAACTACATCGTCCCTTCAGATTGCTCCGTGGAGTTACAAGACAAACGTCTATCCAAGCTTGTCTTGACAGAAGCGCTAACAGGGCCATCTAGTGCCACCTCCGACAGTTCCATCAATGCCGAGGGTGGTGCCTGCTTGAAACCTAGAGGGGCCAGCAGCATTGTGCTGAATTTCTTGGATTTTGGGAATGGAACGGAGAAGAGTGTAGACGAAAAGGTGAAGGTAATCTATGTGAAGGAGGCTGACAACAGCAGCGAGTGAAGTACGTTCCATCTCTGCTAATTCCGGCTGTGTTCTCCTCTCCCGAAATTCAGTTAGTACAGTCGCAATAGTTTAGGCCATACTCATCAACTTAAATTCCTCTTCATTTACATTTAAATATTTAAAAAAATTAAAAATCGGTTGTTAACGCCTACTGGCACATTTAATTGTTTTTTGGCGAAGAGGAATATTCTTATTTTTTTCGTAAAATCAAAATATCGAAAAGAGAGTTAATTGCGTTAACTTAGTTCGTTTTATTTGAAGATTTAAATTAATTGAATTTTAGTAGTATAACAGAAGTTCAGGTTATATGGAAACTTTTTTTATTTTGTGAACAATTTATTATTTTTCTTTACTCAATCTTATTTAATCACAGTGGTGCATGTGACCATACATGCCCCATTTGTTAATAGTGGATTTCCTTCTGAGAAGTCTTCAATGTAATACTTTTTTTTTCACGTCAGGTATTTTAAACACTAGTATGTTGCATTGAAAATTCAAAATTATGTTCATATTGGAGTTTACAATTATTATTATTATAGTTATTCATTTTTGAAAATACTTTTTGGGCACAAAATTCATAGTTAAGTAATCCATTATATATTTATTGATGTGTAGTCATATCCATATATTCAATATGAAACTTTACGAAAAAGTACATCTAGTTGACTACAAACACTGGTTACAGCGCGGTGCCTATCCTTGGATATATGCAGTAAGAGGTCTTTACAGCTGTGCTCTACTGCCAGAAAACTAACAATATGTACTTGCGCTAGGCAAGCTAAAGAAAGAAAAAAAGAAAAGCGCAAAGTCGTTTTATCTAATTGAAATATAGGTATAGACATTTTAGACAGGAATTTGTAAAAGAAAATACGATGACCATGACATGTATATTTGGTTATATAAATTGTAATATTTTACTTCCAGTAAAATCAGTTCGTAGTAAGACTAGTAATGTGGAGAAGGCGATTGCTAAAACATCTTTCTCGAGTTTCTATATTGTCGTATTTAGTGAAATATGGCTAAATTTTCTCTGATATTGAGATTGTGTCACGTATCTACATCTACGACATTTTGCTAAGATCGATGTATTTCATATTGTGTTATACAAACACATTAAAAAATGAGACAGGGAATCAAAACATTGTTTAAATTGGAAAATTTTGTGTTTTCCCTGGTATCAACATAAACATGCTGTAAAGATAGCTTTGTTTCAGCAAACTGAAATTATGTTTTGAAAGACTGAAACTAACTTGCGTAAGTCCAGTATATGCTTTGCATTGAGAGTAACTGAATACAAGTTATTGGGTAGTAAAACAATCTTGCTATATTATGTAATAGATTAATAAGTAAAGAAAGAAGTACCAAAAATATAAGAACTAAAAGAAACGAAAAAGACAAAAAAAAAAAATAATAATAATAATAATGATAATAATAATAAATAAAAATCTGGAGGTTCCTTTAACCAAATCTTTCTGAAAAAATTATATCTGTTTATTGTAAGATTTGAATAAACATACGCCAAAGATTTGATTGTAACGTTCAAAAAAAAAAAAAAAAAAAAAAAAAAACATTAAGCAGTTCAATAGGACCTGATGTACAAGAAATGTACGCCTAAATTAGGACCCCAAGAGTCTGGCCACAGAAGGAGGTGGGGGGGGGGGGGGGGGGGGGGGGGCTGAATGACATGCCTCAAAGGCTTGTTCTTTCAGAATTCTATGATTGTGAGCAGATTATGAAAAGCAATATACACGAGAGTTGTAGTAGTTTATATGCCAGTGGTAGCGTAAATATTAGGATTATATAGTTACAAGTCGTAGCATATCAGAATGCATTGTAATTGTACCACATGTAGTAGTTACGTGTCGTAATGTACCAGTATGCATTAAAATAATGCTTTTATTTATTTTTATACTTGGCTTTTTTTAAAGATGAAAGTAGAAGTTTAATAGTAGCATAAAGAGTACAGTAAGTATAGGCTCTAACCGCCTATAGGTCTGTTGTTTGCATTCGAATATAATGATCGCATTTTAATGCACTTTATTCGTCTGTCTTTATTTAAAGATGAAGCTACGCTGGTATGGAAATAATGTACTGTTTTTATGATGAAGAAATAAAGAAACCAGCTGATGCATTTATCTTCTTTTCTTCCACTTTCGACAGTACCTCTGTACACGAAGCAAGTTTTTATTTCATCCCTTAAAATTCTATAAACGCAGAGAGAAGTGGCATTGATTTAGATCGTCATCCGGTATCTGATTCTGACAGTCGTGTTTCTCTCTGTCAATATGTATTATCTTAAATAATTTATATATCTGGGGTTGTAAATAATTCATAAGTTTGAATAATTATGACAGAATTGTAATTAAATTGATTAAGGAGCTTTAGCGTCACCGCCTCATGACTAGCGTAAAATTGGGCTTCTTTGATTTGAGTCGCACCAGTGACGACCACATTTTGAGCAATCTGTACATAAATGTTTTATATCACATTATAATCACTGTTGATTTCTTTTCATATTTGAGCGTAGTATAGTATAAAGCAGTTAATGAGGCAAGTCAGAATTATGCAAATATCACTCGAAATGTGTCACTGATGTCCGTGACTTAAACTTTCTCAAGTTTTTTTAATAGCCCTGAAATGATAAACCGTTTCGTAATCGAAAACCTGTATCTGCTATATGCAAGTAATAAAACTTTTTCATAAAAACGCACTCTTCATTTCGCTTTTTAATAGCAAAAGAACATCCTGTATTTAGTAAAAACCGAATTAATTAATCAATCAATTAATTAAAAATTCTGCATCATTCGGCTGTCTCTGTTTGCCAAAAATCACCACTCCGGTGAAATAAGCTTTTTCTTTTGCGATGTATCACACGTGTCCGCCTGACCATCACTTTCTTCTGTCGGCATAACTGGGCTGGGTACATTTCTAAGGTCGATGACGTCATCAAGCTTCTGGGAGCCTATTTGTTTCCTCCTTTTCAGTCTGTAGAAGAGAAAAAGGTTTATTTCTAAAATGGTCATTGGCAAATTTGTTCGATAACACGTTATACAACTTGACTGTGTGTGAATTGTGCCTTAACGCAACTGAAAGCACTAGTTCTTATTGTCATGTTGTTTGGTGATTTTTTTTCTCAATAGCACAGCCCCGGGGTGTGTATAAAGGTCATAAATAAAAGCATGAGCCCTCCACCTTTACAGTTGATTATTACAATGTCAGTTAACATACCGGCAATAGATGGCAAACATTAATCAGAGAAGCAGCTACGCAGCGCAGAATAGAGTTTAATAAAAGATTTACATACGTATCCATGAAAGAAGATGCTTCCAAGAAACTTATTAACTATAAATCAGCGCAAATTATTCATCAGTTTATTCACTGTTTCTGTGAGAAATTTTTACTGGTTTAAACAGAACAGAAGGCAAGTAGTTTTAGTTCAACGTTGCTCATTCAGCCCTTCAGTCAAAAGCCAATTCCATGTCTCGACCTAAGATTCTCCGCTTTAATTGCGGCATAAGGTTTTCTGTAACATTCGCATGTATAACATTAAATGGTTTTACTCTAGAGACTGATTATCGTTGCTTAAAGACAGTAAGCGTAATTCATATACCTTTGGTAAATGTAGGCTGTAAAAAGAGCTACAAAAAGCAGTGTTCCCACGGTTCCAACAGTAAGCCCTACTATCATGCCTAAAATTAATAAACAGTTATGCATATTTATATAATTTAATTAATGAATTTCTAGAAATAATAATACAGAAATAAAAAAGAGAGGATAATAAATAAATAAATAAATAAATAAATAAATAAATAAATAAATAAAAAATATAGGTTGAAGACACTACTCGACAACTTATCATTTTGTAAAGAAATGCCGGGGTATACTACCAAATATTATGAAAGAAGCGAGATCAAATTTCCTTGTTTTATACATTTTACACATTCACATTCTTGAACAAATCCCACTCTCTCTCAGTTCTGCAACTCGTGAAACATGAACATAATGATTTCTATTGTATTACCAGTGCTGGTTACCTATTGGCATAGAATTCTTGGGAGTCCCATCAGAAGGGTTAACTCTACGGTTCATCTCTGACAATGCTGACTTCTCTTTCTTGGTGGTCTCCTCAATCGCGGTGGTAGTAATCACTAGCAATGGTGCTGTAATCGTGGCCCATCCAGTTGCCTGTGATGTCGATGTAGCAGAAATAGTAGGTGTGGTTGTTTCAGCTTGCTTGGCACTTGTCGTTTTTCTTGCCGCGACTGAGGCCGGCATTATTTTTGTTTTTCTCGTTTTGGTGAACTTTTTCGTTGAAGGTGTGTTGGTTGTGGATTTGTATTTGGAGGAAACAGTAGTGTCTGCAATCGTGATAGCTGCGTCATCAGTAGCAGAGGTGGATTCTGTATGCAAAAAGACCTTTTCTGTAGCTGTTTTTGCAGTACGTGTAGTAGTTATAGTAGTTGCTGTAAACGTAGTTGTAGTGGTTAGATCAGTTGTAGTAATAATTACAGGTGTAATAGATTTGGTAGCTGTAGTAGGTTTGGTAGGTACAGTGGATGGAGTAGGTGGAGTTGTTTTGGAGGCTGTAGTCGGTGCAGTGGTCGAAGTAAGTGTTGTACTTATGCTANGTGGTTTCTGTGGTTGTAGTGGGTTCTTTGGTTGTTATGGGTTTTGTGGTTGTAATGGGTTTTGTGGTTGTAGTGGGTTCTGAGGTTGTTGTGGGTTTTGTGGTTGTAGTGGGTTCAGTGGTAGCGGTTGCTGTGATGGTGATGGATCCTGTAGATGTCACGGGTAAAGTCGGCGTTGTGGCAAAAAAAACATCAACTGAAAAATAAAACGCTGCACGATTTCGCAAAATACAATTAAATGATATTATCGGTAAAACAAGAATCACAGCCCACATTAAAAGTATGTCAACAATGCATTAATTTACCTGTTATCTGAAATATCACATGGAAAATTCTTGGCAGTGGCTCAGTTCATGATAACATTTTTACATAGGAATCAAACATGAAGTTTGCACTCGCACTGAACACACTGATATTATCATTGCAGCAAATATCTTATCACTCACCGTCAAACACGGTGATGTAGCCACTGCCTCCGCACAGCTCACCCTTGGCGCTCGAAGAGCATGGCACGTTACACATTGTATCGCCGCTCCCTCCGTACCGAGCGTACTTCGTCCCTCTACGTCCACAGTAACAGTTCTTTCCGCCTTCAACGCCAGCCAGCGAGTAACCACCGTCGCGACATTTATGAAGACACGTTGATATATTTAGAGCACCATTGTTTTCGTATGCCGCGTCTGGTAGAGCCCTATCGCTATTGTCATTCCTTAGCTTATAGCACCCCCGAATACCATTGTACCCTGAAATATATTTTCTGGGATTACTGCTGTACATTTACCCACTGTGTGGTTATGTGTATTAATTTGTTTTAAGTGGTTCAGTCTTATTGAAAAAGCTTATATTTAATGCGAGTCGGAGGCACCGGTATGGTTAACATACCGGCGATTAAGTGGTTTCATAAATGGAGTTTTTATTGCAAAACAAAATTAGAAGAAAGGCGATTGTATTCAGTTAAGTCCTTTCTCCACGTTTTTGGCATTAGTCGGTTTTCTGTTTCTTGTGGAAAGTGAAGGTAGTGTTCTTCGATCTCTCAAACCCGCCTAGCAAAAGAAGTGAAAAATTTTGCATCTTCTATTATATTCTTTAAATATCAAATAGTGAAAATTCGTATAAAACTTACCAAATCCAGATTTATAAAAGCACCACTTTACACCACTGCAGTAATCAGGGCCATCGCATTCATTCCAGCAGCATCCTAAGTTTAAACACTTCTCCTCGTCTAATCCCGCCACTCCAGCGCCGCAGTCTACTCGCTGACTGTGTTGAACAGCGCACTTGTCGACTGAGGAATTTAATAATAAACAATAAACAAACAAATAGAACAAACAAACAAACAAACAAACAAACCTGCAAACATGCATGGATATATTTGAATGAACAGATAAATAAATAAGTGAAAAATTCAAAGGAAAGAAAGAAAAAAGTAAATGGCTAAACAAACAAATCATTCAATAATTAAATAGCAATTCAGAGCCTAGCAATAAAGAAAATTATACAATTACACAAATCCGATACAGCATTCCGGAAGACAATAGTTTTTATTAGCGGTGGCTAAGATATAATATTATGTTAAAAACATTACAATTAAGGCGTGTGTGCGTGCGTGCGTTTGGTGTATGCAATTGGGCACTTTTATTGGCTTTTTTTGTTTATTTGTTGGCAACTGCTTGTATGTGTGTGTGTGTAGCCTATATATGTAGTGGGGTATGTGTGAGTGCGTGTGTTTGTGTAAGCACGCGTGCAAGTACAAACAATGATGCCAGAAGGAAATGACATTTCTTACTTGAGCCCAGATAACACTTGTTGTCCTGGTAACAGCAGCCATCTATAGCGCACTCCTTTTCATTCTTATCACCACATCCTAACCGTCCAGTGGTCGGCAACGTACAAAACTTATCTAGAATTACAAAGACTTAAATTTAAAATATTCCGAAACCATTTGTTTATTTAATTTGTAGTCGTTTTTTATATTGAGGCCAAAAAAAAAAAAAAACTGTCAAAACATTTGTGTGCAAGAATATAAACCACGAAGTTGACTCATGTAACTGTAACATCTTTAAACATTGCTGACAGAACAATATATATAATTCATGATGGTCTTTCTCCCACAGGATACTCCTAGTATTTCATGAAATGTTACCTTTCTACTTACTGGAGTGCACACGGACTATACAGCAAAACACCAAGACAACGGACAGGATCCACTTTACATCCCCCATTTGTGTAGCATTTTTACTGTTCGTTAACTTAGCTAGCTCCAAAGTTTACTTCCGTAGGTGACAGTGGGTTCAGTCTTGTTAATCTTTCAAGGGCTGGATTAAGCTAGGTTATTAAAAATGTATGCTCACTCACTTGAGACGGGCCTATCTGTTTATTAGAAATTATCCCAAGGCCAAGCGAAATAATTGAATGTGTCACGGGTTTATTTTAAACTGTTACTGGAAAACTGAACCGCTGTCGTTAATATGCATTTATTTATTTATTTATTTATTTATTTATCTTTGTAGTGGCGATATGGGTTAAGAGGCAATTCCTTGCATCTTTTATCAAAATTTCAAAATTTATAATTAGTAATACGGAAAAAATCGGTCATTGGTCATGCGGTAATAAGGAATACCCAATTAAGTTTACATTATCTTTCATAAGAAAAACATACCATCTAGCAAGTTGAAAATGGTTTTTTCGTTTAGTATCAATAAATAAAGGAAAGCAAGACATGCAAGTATATCAAGCTTTTAAATAAATATATTGAACCAGGGCCATGTGGTTTCGTTTAATGTATTCATTCGTTGAAAATAGCCTTTTCACATCTTCATTTTGAAATATTAATTTCAAAATATAAACAGAACGTGAGATTATAACCGAGGATTTTACCAACCATATACTTCATGTACTAGGTTCAACGTCTATCTAACCCCGTGTATCTAACATTTTATCAAAAGTTTTCCATGTTCATATCAATGTTTAAATACTGGTCACTTCTGTATCAATTAGCTGCCCCTGAAATTTGTGTTCAAATAGAATATATAAAGTTCCAGATATTATATCTGTATCAGAGTGACACGATGCCCCAAATCGGGAAATTGGGATAGTATATGTACATGTAAGAACTTTGGTACAATACTAGATTTGGTACAATACTAAATGCTCTTCACTTTATCATCGAGTGGATTAAAAATGAACAACGTAATGCTGCTTTTCGTGCTGTAAATCGACAGATAGGCCCCCTATTAGTTTGTCTATAAATATACAATGTAGAGAAAGACGTGTTATCCTACACGGGTGCTTCTTGGTATGTTTTTTTTTTTTTTAAGAAACGCTCTGGTGGCGTTTGGAGATAACTCCATGGAGATCGCTGACATAACGTTTATACTTGTAAAGACTTGTAAGGACACTTTTGAAATGAGAGTAACAGTTAAATAACCTTGAATTGTCATCCAGTTGCAAAAAGTAACATCTGCTAACCAAGCTGTTCCATATTAGCTCAAGGTCGTATAAAAACACATTTCTTCTACGACCATGCATTGGCCATGCCTCTTGCAATGATACATCGTAGAAATAGGCATCTTAGTTTAAAAAAGTCTGTACAATAGTAATAACCTACTGCTAGTTCAATATGTATCTTAACCTACGGTGGCAAAATCTCCCACAAAAAGAGAAACCAGCACAAGCAGCTGCTATGTGCCTCGCCTCTGGCACTGACGATGTCCTGCCGCATTTATTATCACAACTAACACACTGCAACCCAGTTTAAATATACACCCGATGTATTCGGTATACGCACTAAAACTGTACATACTCAGTCTCTGCAGTGGGTGCAGCTGCGTAAATGTCATTATAATTTTGACCAACGTTTTTCTGTTGGTCAGTCTCTCGCTAGGTCTCTCTCTTTTATGGCAGATGGTAAAAAATATGAAATAAAATAGAATGGAATAAAATGGAAGGATGGGATGGAATGGAATGAAATGAAATTAAAAATATAGAATAGAATAGAATAGAATAGAATAGAATGAACAGCTGAAATGAAATTGCTGTGAATGAAAAGTAGTAAATTGCCTCTAAGGCAGACTCTGAATATCCTGATTCCTATCATCCCAGAGTTGCACTGACTAACGTCATACTATTGTCATCTATATATAGTCTGCGGTCGGTCTACCGGTACCCTACCCATTTGTTTTCCTTAGAACGACTCAATACTAATGCCTTGTTGATTCATCATTAACGGAAGCACTCAATAAAAATGAAGTTGCGAACACTGTGCTGTAGATACGCGAAAAGTACAAGTGCACCTGCCTTGGTTTCACAGGGAAAAAAGCCTCTCAGTGCCCCCCCCCCCCCCCCCATTCAGGTGGCGCCCCCTTTGATTGGCGCCCAGCACACGATGCTCCACCCACCATACTCAAGACACGTCACTGATTTCAGTCAGTGTGTACGAAGACCACAGGATCATGATCAGAGGCACAAGACTGATAAGCCAATATGCAAGCGGCTGTGGTTTTTTAACCACTTAAAAGATGTTTAAATCTTAAAAGAGAAGTAGATTCTAGCGCAGCGTCAGAGCCGATCTTTTGCCTTAAATGTCGATCTTACCCGAAAATTGTTTGAATGACATAAAGGAAGCCACCCATAGCTCCTCTTTATTTTCTATGCTACCACAAGCCATCTGTGTGATGGCGAAGTTATTGTGCAACAATTCGAGCCAGAAAAATAGATTCAAAAAACATACCCAGCCAGTGAACAGTTAAAAAAAGTCTGTGTATCCCTAGTAAAATGAATTCACTATCTGGCCCTGGTACTGGTAATTCGCCCTTTATATCCAAGTCTCAATCTCATATTCTTTTCATTTTTACAAAGCATAGTTTTTCTAAAATGCACATTGAAATATGAAGAAGAATGAAAATGCTAATGTGAGATCAACAGCTGAATTAGATCAAACACCCGTTTTCATTTCGGACTAGTGATCCTTTGTCAGATTAATATACATGCAATTATTTTTTCATTCTGTCGTAATTGAGAGGCTTTGTAATAGCACGCAAATCTTACAGACACGGAAACATGAATAAACAGTATTGATTTTGACCTCTGAAATTTCCTTTTTGCTGAGCGGCAATGACAATTCAACAGGATGTATAATGACAATTACGAAATAACAAACACTTTTGTCCAATAGTCAGTGCATATACAATTATGAAGGGCGTGTACTTTTTTGATTCTCACTCCAGGGGAGATAAGTTATCCCCTGAGGTCTATCCATTATTTTTTTTTCATCCCTTTTCTAAATTTGCTGTAAAATGAAGCTCATTGTGTTGTGGGCCCCATTGTGTTTCTTTTCCAATATTAAAAGAAGGCGGGCTCGCTTTGGATAAACGGTGCTGCTTTACGAAAACAAAGGAGGGGGCTGTGGATATAAAATTCCATCTGTGGGAGTCACAATAGGGTCTACTATTTCAATACAAATATGTCACCTCAGGTAGCGGGACATCTTACTGTTTACAGTTTGTGACGTGCACGTGACCGTGCCGGTCATTACGGCCCAGCAAATCAGATTGAGTGACGTCACTGACTCACCGCCGGCCTACTTAAACATCGGCTCATACGTCGTTATCTTCATTCTTTGGACAACAACAGTCACCTGCATTCCGGCACAGCGAGTGACACCAACGGCTATAAGGTTATCAGTTTCCCGTTAATAGGTCATATTTAACACTGCTTGTTACTCAGCGGCTTGAATTATAGACAAAATAACAACATGAACAGCTACACATGGATCCTTGCCGTGGTCTTCCTCGGCTCTGCCCTGGTTAGGGTGCAGGGGTACGGAAACGGGGCTCCACCCAGCGCCTGCGATTCTATGGTCCCCGGGCACCAGGGGTCAAAGCCCCAGACTATAGCCAGTCCATACACCGTCTCCGTCCAGGTGTCCAGCTACACCCCTGGACAAACAGTGAACGGTAGGTGATACACAACGGATCTATTTGTGTAGTCAGGTTCATAATTGTTTTGAAATAAAATAATGGTGTAGCTAGCTAGTGTTTTAAGATTCAAAATTCAGTTTTGGTGAAGTCATATGGAATTCTATATTATTGTGATGTTGACAGATATGGATAAAAAAGCAGGAGGCAGACATTTATTGCTTTCAGCTATAGCTATAAACGCCCTGTGTAACGGTATAGTGTATGTATATTTATAATACGATCTAATGTGTATATTTAATACGATGTCTAAGATAGCGGTTCTACCCCAACTGCACTAGTATTTGATATTATTAAAGTGATTTGAATGAAAATGTTTAGCTTTACGCGATTTATTGATCTACATGTACGTAAGTACGTGGTATTTTCAAGCTGAACGCAATGAATTCAACAAATTAAGTATACGATTTCCATATAAAACTCAAGCTCAGCAAGCCTCATTACTAAAGGGCACGCAATTGTTTTTGTCTCACGCTGCTAGTACACACTGGTATTCATACAAAATTTTTGAATGGCCACTTTTGTTTTTATCGATTATTTCTAGTAGTACCAGCTGTTAACGCGTTTTGTTACAGGTATGATATGTTAGTCGAGCCATGCCGGTGCGGCAGTTATTGCACATCACCGAGACATATGTAGGTCTACTGGTAGTTTGAATATGACGACGTCTCTAGATATTTAACCTATAGCACTCAGTAATAGCAGCGTGGATCACCCTTAAACTCTCTACACGGATTCTTGAGAGAGAGAGAGAGAGAGAGAGAGAGAGAGAGAGAGTGAGAAAGAGGATTCAGTGAGGTCGGGGGAGGGAGGGGGCCTTCGCCGGGCCCCGAACCCCGAACCCCGAACCCCACGCCAAGGGGAGGGGGAAAGGGTCGGCTTTGCATCTGCGGATCCCCCCCCCCCCACACACACACACACTTCAAATAATTCTGGATCCGCCCCTGACCAGTCACCAGTTTGTCGACATTAGTTCCGTGTCCAGTATTTAAAACAGGATTTATTTATTATGTCATGCCGGTGGAACAGGTATAGCTTATTGATGGAAAATGACGACGTCTCTCGGTGACATGAAACATGATAACCATAGCAGGATATTAACAGCAAGATTTTCAACGTTTTACACCTATGAATCAGCCTTGAGAGAGCATCCCCAAAACCACCTCGAGTTAACCAGCTTTTCGTCTTTAGTTCCGTGTCTAATATTAGGAACAGGGATCAAGTATGCCGTCATTGTCACTGTTCAACTATCCGTTGCTAAACCGTATGTCGATGACGTCTTGATTCCGATTCAAACCACTGATTTGCATCACTTCCGTACCACGAATAGAGATCTTAGGTCCGGGATGATGGGTGTGATGCTTTCCCTGATGAGGGGGTATGAGGGAAAGGTGAAATTACTAACAACTACAGTCGGTCACGAGTTCGCCAGGTACAAATTCAGCGATCACGCAAACCTTGTAGTTTGAAACACGCCCACAACAACAAAAATAGGGTTTTGTATTTAAGTGCAGTTGTCCCTGAGGAATAGCGACGCGTTTGAGAGGACTATATTAGCGTCACTTAACAACATGGCCCCCGCCCCTTGACCTACCCTGATAATCTATTCACGGTTGTTACTAAGGATCGCACCACTGATAAGGACGGTCGCTCCAATTAATAATTTATGTGAACCAAGTCGCCCGATAGCTCCACAAGTACATGTACCAGCCTGTGCCTGGTTCTTGTAGCGATGGGACTGGCTTCTTCTGTTAGGTTTAACTTTCTGTCGTATTACACCCTTTATGACAACGAATATTGAGCGCATTATTTGTGAATAATCCCATGGATTTGTGCTACAGTTGCTTTGTAAACGAATGCAGGTTGCAGGTGTTTACGTTGCTAAGTCAGTGCAGCACATGCTAGCAGAGGGGGGTCATTTCATAGTTACCATGGATGGGGGGGGGGGAGTGCTACTTTATACTTTATATAATATAAAACCTTCCTTTCAGTTGATACTTATATATATATTACAGTAATTTTTATTTCTGTTGAGAAAAAGTTCTGGCACATAATCATCGCCTTGTCATTATTATCATTATAAATGTCAGTAAAATGACTAAATATGCCTACATTTTCTAATGCCTCTGACCTTACTTTATAAATATGGCCCTTAAACTACGACAGAACTAAAAATAGGTTTACACAAGTATTTTATGCAGATATTTAATCATCAGCATCATCATTATCATCTTTATTGATATATTGCAACCCGAATGTTATATATATATATATATATATATATATATATATATATATATATATATATATATATATATATATATATATATATATATATATATATATATTTTTTTTTTTTTTTTTTTAAGTGAAATTTATTAAAATCTGAAAAGCCTGGTCATTTTTGGCCCTGTTGCACTCTATAGTCGCTCTCACCTCCCTGGGGAGGATACAGCCCAGAGAGGATTACAATCAAAGCATGTGATCTGTCGCTTTGAGTGGCTATAATGCATCAGCATAATTTATCAACAAGCTGGAGATAACCTATATACCTTGTACACTATTCTTACTTGTTAGATGTCCATTGTTTATAATTAATCGGGTCAGTCAAAGTATCAATATACTTCCATGGTCAAACCCTTATCAGTGTTACTGCTGTGGACATAATGTCAATAGTATTGTGCAATATTTCAGCGTGTCAGTGGAGTGTCTATTGGTCTAAAGGAATATGACTTGGCCGAGTGACACTAACATCGGGGACCTAATGAGCCCGTATCTATAAAAATTAATTTTCTAAGTTTAGTCCAAAGGCCTCTGTTGCTATGCCACACGTTGGAAAGGGTTTAAGATTAACCTGAAAAAAGTATATAAACACTATATATATATATATATATATATATATATATATATATATATATATATATATATATATATATATATATATTTCGTGTGTTTATTGCCTTTTTTTCAGGTATATGTATATATATATATATACACAAATCCAATGTTTTTTTTTATTTAATTTTAAAGATTTTCCAATAAACATTTCAAATGTAAATACATTCAAAGAAACAATATAACGTTGGCTTCTTGCTTGAACTGAGTGGACATTATATGCCTTTTAAATAAAAACTTAACAACTTCAACCGATACGAAATACTTTAATCATTGATGTTTTTGCTGCCATGTCCAGGCAGTGTCTCATTTACGTTGCCGTCTGATATTTAAATCGGGAAAGCGAGCAAATTCATTTTTACGTTTTTTTAACAGCGATGGGTAATCTTGACCCAAACTGTTTTTTGTCCGACTCTTTACGGTGTTAACCCAATAGATTTCTTCTGATCATTATGGTCTTTACTTGATGGAAGTCTTTAAGTGGGACTTGCATTGATTTCACATATGCGATAAATTATATGCGACAGATAAAGAAGTTAAGATTTTGTGGTTATCTAATTATTGGTCTGATATAAATCCACATCAATCGATATATACAACCAATCAATATGTCTTAATTAATCTATTTATTCATTATTTTTACAATTTCAGTGACCGTCAGAGGCACGGAGGATTTCCGGGGTCTTCTTCTTCAAGCACGTAAGGCAGGCACCGACGAAGTGGTAGGAACCTTTCAGACTCCTCCATCCAAGTTCAAGTTCCGTCCCTGTCCTGACGGGGGAGCCAACAACGGAATAACTCACATTGACACGTCAACCAAAAACAACATGACATTTATGTGGACAGCACCTTCCACAGGAGTTGGAAATGTACAGTTTTAGTGAGTATTTGGAGTATGTCTCATGTAGGTGTGGTGGGTGCATTGCGTTAGTTGTGATCAGAAAAATTGTCAGGATGTTCTAATTGCGTTAGACAAGAGACACTTGTGCTCGATATAACTAGTTTCATTGTGTGGCAATTTAGGCACATTATTTCTGTTTAACTTTTCGCTTCTTTTGACTTAGATTGATTAGCACATTTAAGCAGTTGTCATCCACTTATAAAACTAAAGCAAAATTGATTAAATAGTTATTCTTAGCGACAAGTCATTGTCTACACACTTGTAAGTAGGCCTACACGGAGTTAAAATCGTGGTCTCTGCCGAAGACCTATGTGTAAGTACTAGTAAAACCTAGGCTTAAATTTAAACTGGTACAACAAGAAGTTCATTTCAAAATAATTAACCCTCAACTAATTCTTAAGAAAGTTACCAAGTGCTTTTAACTTTCCCTGTGCCGCACTGGTGGATACGACACCGACTCATCTTGGCAGCAAAGGCCTGTGCACGATCCCCCCCCCTAAAAAAAATGGTGCGCAAGGTTTCAAGGGTGGCACTGTATTGCCCGCTCTTCTTCAGCAATAATTCCGGATCCTCCGTGCTGAACCTGTTTTCAACAATATATATCCTCAAATCTTTTTTTTTTTAAATTCTAGTGGCACCGTTCTTAAAGAAAAACCAACCTACTGGGTGAAGCTCACAAGCAGTGTCATATCGGGAGAAGGCGGCGATTCCAACGGGGCCTCCTCACTGCTTGTCCATATTTCATCTGTAATTGGAACCGTTTTGCTGGCTAAAATTTTATAGACAACGAAATTTCGGGGGAAAGTATTTTTAGATCAATAGCACGACTCGTAGCAGAGTTACCTTCCTGGAGACAGCTTTTATTGTGATTTCTCTAACAAGAACCAAGCAGGAACAATAATTTTGACAGGGAAATATTAGGACCAATGGATATGAGAAAAATATTTATTTTAAATCTAAACGGAATATTATTCTGGGTAATTGCTTTTCTCCGTTTTTGTAGTCGAAATGACGAACAAAATTATATTGTAAAATCTCTGTAACTTCTAATTTTACAAGTTTTGCTTAGATCTCCATATGCGCACAAATGTCATAAATCGCGCCAGAAATTAATTCGCTTTAAAAGCACAAGTTGTTATCTTTACGACAAATGAAGAGATTGCGAGTGACATCGTCTCTGAAATCATATATCATTGGCTCAAACCAAATTACATTCGCCAATCAGCCGCGTGTTGATGACGAGGCTCGGATTCAAAGCGAGTCTCTGAAAAAGCGTAGGCAACTGATGACATTTGGTCATCCTCGGTTAATTCCTTATTCCTTTATTTTTAGGCAAGGAATAACCTGACGTGTTCAAAATGGGAAGTGAGAACACAGTTTATTTTTTACAGTAATATCATCACATTTTAAATCGTTTAATGTATTTGTATAATTTTCTCTCGCAAGTACATTCCATTAGGTTTACGTGTACCTGTGCATTTGTCCATTTTTATATTGTGTTAAATTACAATAAAAACTAGCAAAACTGTCTGGATTTATGGCTTAACACTCCAGTCTCTGGATGGAAAGAATGAAATTGTGATTGATAAGTTTTAATTACTTTAAAGTGCAAAACTACTGCAAGACTCGAATATGCTTGAACGTGACAAATTCATCATCTTCAAACACCATTAAAAGTGACATGCCTGTACATGTACCGCTGGACACGTACATGATGCATTAAACTGAACATGAACAATTATTGATTTTTTCTTTTGGTAAAGTTTTGTATCACTACTGTTTCACTACAAAATTCCTTTTTGCTTAGCGGCAATGACAATTCAACATGATGTGTAATGACAATTACGAAACAAAATGCTTTAAATATTTAATTACCTCCGCCAAGGAGTTTTTTTTCACCCCTGTTTGTCTGTTTGTTTGTTTGTCATCAACATAACTCAAACAATTATAGACCGATTTTGATAAAATTTTCAGGAACTGTCAGAAATGGGCCAAGAAAGAGATGATAAGATTTTGGTGGTGATCCAGATCAATAATCAATCAATAATCAATAACAATCAAAAATCGCTGCCTTGGCGGAGGTCTGCGCTCTCAGAGTGCTTTTCTAGTTCATTATATTTTTAAAAAGTGCAACATTTTATCATTCTGTAAAATGGATATAAATCAGGAGTTAAACATTTTCACAACAACAATGCAGAAGTTTTATGAAAGAAAAGTAACCAGAATTCCTCATTTTTACATTTTTACACAGTCACATTTCTTCAACATTTCCCACTCTTTCTCAATTCGTGAAACATGTACATTATAATGTCTATCATATGTAAACAGCTGCTACTTCCTGTCGCATTAAATTTACTAGCACAACTAACACAATGCAACACTTACACCGGATATACTCCTTATAATCACTATAACTGAACATACTCAGTCCCTACAGTAGGTCTGCGTAAATACCATTATAATTTTGACCAACGTTTTTCTGATGGTCAGTCTCTTGCTTGATCTCTCTCTCTCTTTTATAGCGGTTGGTAGAAAATGTGAGATAAAATGGAAGAATGGGATGGGAATGAAATAGAATAGAATAGAGTAGAGTAGAGTAGAATGAAAAATTGTTATGAATAAAAAAATAGTAGATTGCCTCTAGGTCAAAGTGATGGTCATTAAATATCCTGATTCCATACCTTTCCGGTCACTTTTGCACTGACTAACGTCATACTGTTGTCATCTATATATAGTCTGCGGTCGGTCTACCGATACTTTGTAATAACACGCAAATCTCATAGACACAGAGTTATGATTTAACAGTGTTGATTTTGGCCTCTGAAATTTCCTTTTTGCTGAGCGGCAATGCCAATTCAACGGGTTGTAAAATGAAAATTACGAAGTAACAACCACTTTTGCCCTATAGTTAGTGCAAAGACAATTATCTTGGGCGTGTACCTTTTTGATTTTTACTCCAGGGGAGAGGTCTATCCACTATTTTTTTACAACCCTTTTCTAAATTCGCTGTAAATTGAAGCTCATAGTTCTATGGACCCATTGTGTGTCTTTAAGAACACTTCAAGAAGGCGGACTCTCTTTGGATAAACGGTGCTGCTTTATGAAAAGAAAGGAAGGGAGTTTGGGTAAAAAAATCCTTCTGTGGGTGTCACAATGAGGAAAATTAAGGTATTCGCTTCGCGTTTGTTCGCTTCATTTTGTATCAAGTAAACTCGGTCATTGATCAATCACAAAAGAATCTCATATTTCAGTACAAAAATGTCACCTCGGGTAGAAGGACACCTTGCTGTTTACAGAACGAGACGTGAACGTGACCTCGCCGGTCATCACGCCTCAGCGAATCATAATAAGTGACGTCACTAACTCACCGCCGGCCCACCTAACCGTCGGCTCAAACTTAGTTATCTTCATTCTGAGGTCAACAACAATCACCTGCATTCCTGCACAGCGAGTGATACCAACGGCTTTAAGGTTATCCGTTTCTCGTTAATAGGCAATATTTACACTGTTTGTTACTCAGTGGCTTGAATTAAAGGCTTTGGAAGCACACTATTCGACAAAAAAAAAAGATGAGCAGCTACACATGGATCTTTGCCGTGGTCTTCCTCGGCTGTGTCCTGGTTAGGGTGCAGGGGTTCGGAAGCGGGGCTCCTCCCGCCGCCTGCGTAACTATGGTCCCCGGGCACAATGGGACACTGCCCCAGACTGGAGCCAGTCCATACACCGTCTCCGTCCAGGTGTCCAGCTACACCCCTGGACAAACAGTGAGCGGTAGGTGATACACAACGGATCTAAGACTGGGTCCCCATCCCTAGATCGATCAAACAGGATCGGTCCATCCCCACGGGGTTTCTCGCTATATTGCTCTCAGCTTAAGTGGCTTAAGAAACCCCGTGGAGATGGACCGATCCTGTTTGAAGCTGCTAAACGATAATTAATTACCCCCTATCAGCTTCAGTAGACGTGGCTGACATCTAAGCCGCTTAAGTTAATTGCAATTTAGTGAGAATTCTTGAGAAATCTTGGAGATAGTTTGATCCAAAGTTAGTACGATAGTCTCTGGGAATGGTCTCTAAGACAAAAAAATATCAACTCTTATACTGGACACTTACGTAGTGACAGATTCCTGAAGATGTCTTTGTGGACAAAACGAGTCTCTGCAAAATATCTAGCAGATCTGCGTGAGTGTCCAGTATTAGAGACCATTCCCAGAGACTATTGTAGTAACTTCGGATCCCAAGGGGATTCTCGCTTAATTGGAATTAACTTAGGCGGCTTAGATGTCTGCCACGCCTACTGAAGCTGATAGGGGGTAATTAACAATCGTTTAGCAGCTTTAGTAGGCGTCCCATACATTTAAGCCCCTTAACTGAAAGCAATTTAGCAAGAAACCCCGTGGAGATGGCCCGATATATATATCGATCTAGGGATAGGAACCCAGTCTTAGGGTTATATTTTTGCCCTAGAACATCACAACTGGATGAATCATAATTTACATTTTGATACAGAAGAGAGCTATTTTCAGTATAGCATATACTTACTCAGGTTCGTTTTTTTTAATGAAATAATGGTGTACTAGATTTTAAGACTCAAAATTGGCTTTGACGAAGTCATATGGAATTCTTTATTATCTTGCAGTTGAGAGATGTGGATAAAACAGCAGGAGGCAGGCATTTATGGCTTTCAGCTATAGCTACAAACGATCTGCCTTACAGTATAATTAATGTACATAAAATACGATAGCGTTGTCTAAGAAAGCGGTTCTACACAAACTGCGCTTATATTTGATATTATTAAAGAATGAAAATGCCTCGCTTCACGCAATTTATTGAGCTAGTGGTATTTACAAGCTAAACGCAATCAAGTAGATTACGTTATCCCTCGTGTACGCCTTAAATATTAAACATAAGCTCAACAAACCTCATCATGAAAGGGCATGCATGTGTTTTTGTCTCACGCTGCTTGAAAACGCTGGTTTTCATACACGTTTTTGAAAGGACACGTTGGATTTTATCGATTGTTTTTATTATTCCTAGTTGTTAACGCGTATGATATGTTAGTCCTAGACCATACCAATGAGGCAGATGTATGTGTAGTTTGAATGTCTCCCGTTGACATATATCATGATTATGATGACAGGGTTTTACCGTCAAACACCTATGAATCACTTTTGAACTCTTTACACACGATGACACGGATCCTGGGGAGACAGAGAGAGAGAGAGAGAGTGAGAGAGAAGGACCCCAAATCACTGCCAGTTACTAGTTTTGCTATCTTTAGTTCCGTGTCAAGTATTTCGAACAGGATTTACGTAGGGTGCATTCCCATAGATTTAGATTTAGATCGACCTAACTCCCTGGGGGTTCACGCTAAATTGCAGTCAGCCTAGCGCGCACCATAGTTAATTACCCCCTTACAGCTTTTAGTAGGCGGGACAGACGCTTAAGCCGGCTAAGCTGACAGTAATCTAGTGAGACTCCCCACAGGGATAGATCGATCTAAAATCTATGGGAATGGGGTTTTAGTTATGCCATGCCGGTGCGAAAGGTGTAACGTATAGTTTGAATATGACGACGTCTCTCCCTCACATAAAACATGATAACCATAGCAGGATATGTTAACGTTTAACAGCAGAATTTTGAACGTTTAAATTTAACACCTATGAATCAACCTTATAAGAAAGCATCCCCAAACCACTACGAGTTACCAGCTTTTAACCTTCAGCTCCATGTCTGCTATTATAGCACAGGGTTCAAGTATGCCGTCATTGTCACTGTTCTAGTATCCGGGATGCTACTAAATTTAAACTGTATGTCGAATACGTCTTGTTTCCGATTCAAACCACGTTGAAATTACGCAGGCTGATTTGTATTTCTTTCGTGCCATGAATAAAAATCTTAGGTCCGGGATCATGGGTTTGAATAGCTTTAGTGGGATTTTTTGTATAGAGATAGGTGTCACTCTATCTTCCCATGTTTTATATGAAATTGCTGGATAAAACAGCTGCAGGCCCAGGATTATCGGGATAATGATTGTTCAGATTCAGGGTATGGAGCAGGTATTTTACATGCGTTATAATCTACTTGGGAAGGAATAAAGGAACTTGTCATGCTGTTTATATCCCCCGACATTCAAGCTAAATCTATGGGTAATGTGTCCCTACTCTTTGACCACAGGTGCTGTAGAAGTCGGTCGGTTACAAATATTTTGAAAGCGATTTTGTACGTATTTGAGTGGGGGCCTCATTATATCGGAGGGTATGTCCCAACTAAGGATAATGATAATGATTATTATTTATGTTTTCGTTGAATTACGTTTTGAGGAAGATTAAGACTAACATCATTCCTGTGTACTAAAAATTTTCTCGAAGTGCTGAGTCACGCTTTTTTATAACCTAAGATATAGTATTTTATCACAAACGACACGGTTAATATATAGTTCAACCGATTCTGCCTAGTCACTGATGAGTCTAGGGGTGGCGGGAGGGGCACAGGTGCATAGTAAACGTACCCGCGTTTTCTTGCTGACCGAATTAAGACAAATTAACGACTCCCAGGTCGAGATGGTTTTCTCTTACAGTACGTTTACATGTAACTACAGTGAGTGTTTTTGCACAGTATTTTCTTCCTCGGTCAGCTAGCCTCTGGTAGAAGGCAATGGTTTAGACCCCATTCTCATACCTACATCGATCTAGCAGGATCGACCCATCTCCGAGGGGTTTCTCGCTAAATTAAGCTGTAAGGGGGTAGTTAACTATTTTTAAGCAGCTTCAGTAGGCGTGCCAGACATCTAACCGCTTAACATGAATGCAATTTTACGAGAATGGTCGATCGATGTAGGAATGTGAATGGGTTCTTACTTTCTGCTGTTATTCCTGCTGTGAATTCGTACACACAGTAATGGTATAAATGAGCCAAGGACGAATGTCAAAGCAATTTTATCTTTGGATCATGTATAAAAGCAGTGAACGTATTGAAAAAAATTCGATTGTTATCTCAAGAGTCGGGTTTCATTGATTTGCATTTGTACGAAAAGTAGATAGCTTGGAGGAGAAAGGTACTGGTACGTGTCAGAAATAGTCACCAAATACGGAGTGCAGACACGGAACAAATAGTAGCTGAATGTTTTCCAAATATTTTCTGGTTTCTTAGATTCTGGCGAATAACAGTCTATTGCACGAAAGTACGTTTTCACCAAGTTTTGTGTGTAATTTTGTATTGCTTTATAAGGTGTTATTTCCGACGCACAGGCTTGTAATTTAATAGCTGAGAAGCTGATTTTCGCACGTTTTTAGTCTCGTATGACGTCTTGCAGTGCCAGTTGAGAGAACAATTTTAAGGTCTTTTACAGGGTCTATGTAATGTAACTTTCTTCACCTACATTTGTGTAATTAAATTAAAACTGCGTTGCAAAGATATATCCATTTAAAAATACGAAGAACAATAAAAATATTTCCTCTGCGACGAGTAGTTGTGAAGAAATCACCACCGTAACTTGCAGCCGTGTATTATTATTTTTTGTGTGTCTGTGGCGATTAAAAAAAGGAAAAGGTTATCAACGCGTCCTGCCATTTTCTGATTTTAAATTTAATTTCAATAACCTTATCTAAAATTGAAATGTAACGTAATACCTTTTGACACGACATCGATCCAATGAGAAAAAAAAAAAAAAAGAAAAGAGATGAAATCTGAAGGACGTGTATATAATTTAGGTGAATAGCACTTCGCATCCGTTTTCACTTATTTTAGGATTCCAGTAATTTTTGCGACCTGGTTTTACAGCCTTTTAGATGACATTTTCACCTGTGTTTTATTTATTCATTTTTATGTACAGACACAGATGTGTCTGTACATATTGCCATCACCTGCGTCTGTCGTCGCCGATGCCGATGCCGTCGCCGGCGCCGTGCACTTTCATTGTAAACACAATAAGTGGAGGGCAGATTTACTTTTTGGCTTTATATTTACAGAGCTGATGAATATTCATAAAACGCAGGTCAAGTTCGAAAATCAGCATGATCAGGCCATTATTGTAGAAGTTATGCTGTTTTTTCACTTTTCAGCATACATGCAACACTGTAAACACATTTCAAGGAAAAGCGATAGGCCTGTTATCATGAAACTCACAAGAGTAATCTATCTTACTAAAACGCAGGTCAAGTTCGAAAATCGGCATGATCGGGCCACTATTTTAGTAGTTATGCTTTTTTTTCACTTTTCAGCATATGAACACAGCATATGCAACACTGTAAACACAATATAAGAAAAACAGATAGGCCAATTGTCATTAAACTCACAGGAGTGATCAATCCTGCTAAAACGCAGGTTGAGTTCAAAAATCAGCATAATCAGGCCATTATTTTAGAAGTTATGCTGTTTTTTCACATTTCCTCAGATTCAATTCTTAGGCATGTTAACAGTTTCATTATTTAATTAATAAGATACGTAAAAGTGTTTGTTTGACATTTCCTGCATCTTTACAACATTGTTAGTTGATTTTGTAAAAATGATGGTAAACTTGTTATCGTGTATTGTGTTATAAAGTTTCAAAAATGGAAATAAACTCATATCATTGCAGTTTGTCAGATTCAATCATTCACTATGTTCAGAATCTCAGAATGGA